TGTCCAATCTGTTTCTCTTCGACGAGAAAGCGAAATCGCGGCACACCGTGAGAAGAAATCCACTGATTTGTGTGCGGGCCGTATTGTCCGCGCGATACAGCAAGGCAAAGGCGGCCAGGAGGCGGGAGACGGGACATAGCCGAGGGTGGGATGGCTGGAACGAGGGAAAGGGGTGAGGGTGAAACAGGCAAAGGGAGGTAACGCGATTTCCCTAATGCCTTCCAGCCCACGGAGTTGAATGTTATTATGCACGGTGAAGACTTTATAATAGGACGTTGAAACTCTTTAAAACTCGCGGAGAGCGGATCCTCTAACCCCCGCCGCGCTGCCCCTCGTTCGGAGGCGAAAGGGCTCGTCACTTCTCCGACACTCGAACGATTTTCTTAGTCACACTCAAAAATTGAGAGGCTCGTTCCGGGCCGCGCCGTTCGCCTCTTTGGATTTTGTCGAACCTCTAAAGGATTCCCTTCTATCGAACGAATCGCGTGGATCATCTTCCATCAGTGTCCGAGTATTCGAGTATTTCCCTGCGCGTAGAAAATATTGTCCTTCGCAAGTATTATTTAACACACGTAATATTGCATTACACTTCAATTAACGAGATACCTGCGAACGTTTTCGTTGCAAATTATGTTAATGAGAAACGAACGCGAAGTTCTTCGTATTAAAAAAAAAGGGAAAAAAACAAATTTTACATATTTAAAAATGTAGTGGAACGCTAATAAATAGCAAAACGAGTCCAAGAAGACGATTTGCGTCGAGCACGCATGAATTAATCGATCAGCTCATAAGCAGAAAGTGACACGAATCACCGATCGTCGGTGACGCTTTCCGGCTAGCCTCAACAACCCCCTTTGTCTTTGATCTCATTAATCACGTGGAAGCGGCGCGGCCGGGCGATGGGTATCCAGCGCGCGGTGGTAGGAGAAAGAAAAACAGAACCCCTTAAAATAATCTGGCCCGAAATGAAATCAGCCAAGGCAATTTCCAGCCCCTGTAGCCAACGGTGATGTTAACAGCGCCGGCGGTTTTATCCATCCACTCTCTCTGGTGCCATCCCTGATTCGAGCGCGGTGCAACCGACAAATGACGACGCGGCGACCCCCTCGCGGCGGCCCACGGAATTAAAGATCCCGAGATAAGGGTGTCATCCTTCGCTATGCATTATGTGTTCGGCAAAAAGCTCCGGGTCTCCCCCTCCCCCTAAAGCTATCCTAACACTCTGCGTCTCGTTCTCGCCCGGTTTCGCGCATCTTCTCACCCCCTCGCCACCCTCTTTTTCTACCTCCTCTCAATTTCCTCTCTGTCCGTTCTCTCTTCCTTTCTCTCACGGCACTTCGTCTTCTCTTCTCTCCTCGCCTCTCTCCTCTTCTACGTTCGTTGACTCTGTTTCGCCCGAAGAAGATTCCAATTAATCTCCCTCGTACTTTTTCCACTCCCCACTTGCCGCGTGCGACGTTACGCGATGTGAAAGTTACGCTTTATTCCACCGCAACAGCAACTCTCGTCGGTGGGAGCAACGTTTCACCACGTTGGACAGATGTATCGGTAAGTCTCGATCAAATTATCAACGGGTTCCAGCAAGGTGGACACGATCGAAAGTGATCGTGTCTCGCGATTGCAAGGTAATTTGCGCACACTGATTGCCGAAGGTTAAAGTATCGCGTGACGCAGCAGCATTTCTTAAAAGTGTCGAAGATTTCTCAGCTGGATGAAGCGCGTTTTCATTTTCTTATACACGGTCATTGAGCTTGTCAAATTTGCGACAGAGCGCGAAATTCGATTCGGTTATGCACCGATCAGGTATCGTGATCAGTAGCGGTGAAACAAACACGTTCCTCGTCAGCGTCATCTACTCAAGCTACTCAGCTACTATTCTGTTCGCCATTCCGATAGCCAACGATTCGTCCTCTTTCTTGCCCGTTTAGCGACCCTGTACAGTCCCGATAGCGGGTATCGATGCACTCGAACAATCCCTCCTATCTCGGCCAAGTGTGTTTTTATTTCCTGTTAATTGATTTTTTACACTCCGATACACCCTGACGAGGCTGCTCCTTTATGACGCGGCGCGCGTTTTGTCGCGTATCCATGGAAATGGTCCCGCAGCATCGGCAGCTACGATATTAACGGGGTAGATACCAAGAGGGAAAAGGGTTCGCGACTAATTGAAATCGCGATGTTCCCGTACTTCGGTCGCGACGTACTTTCTTTCTCCTTTTTTCTTTTCTTCTCTTTTCCTCTGCCTCGCAACAGCCAAGCAAGAAAAAAGATGAAGGGGGAGGGGAAAGATAAAGAGAGATAGAAATCGGAGCTGTTCGCGAGCGAGGGTGAGAGTTCAGCGACTTCTTTCTTGCCGGGACAAGCAAACTGGCTAGTCCACTTTCATACACGAGAACATATAAAATCCCTTTTCACGAAACACCCCTCGTAAACTTTCTTTCCTACGCGTTCGCTATCTTCGTATCGCCATTCAGCTTCCCTGTCCCCGTGCCGAAAACTCGCACGCGCTCGCTCGTGCACGTTCGTGTTACGCGCGCGCAAGTGTGTACGTGACGTTACCACGACACGCTTGGAACGTCGACGAAGTAGATTTTTCCGCACCTCGATATGATTAATATCCCTGCGAGATAGGAGGGTGCCGGTCGGGTGAACGAAGATAGAGGAACAGGGGGGGGGG